AAACCATCGTTTCTAGAAAAATCACTAACTAAATAACTAGGTCTACTAAATAAACCATGGTTTCTAGAAAAACCACTAACTAAATAACTAGGTCTACTAAATAATCCACCGTTTCTAGAAAAACCACTAACTAAATAACTAGGTCTACTAAATAAACCATCGTTTCTAGAAAAACCACTAACTAAATAACTAGGTCTACTAAATAAACCATCGTTTCTAGAAAAACCAAAAGGTAAAGCCTCTAGACAGCAGATTTCAGAGACTCCGAGAGAGGGTCCACTGTTTATATACAGATGATTCAGAAGATAATATGGGAATATAAATTTAATTATACGAATGGAAAACGTAGAACAGTTTCAGTAAATTAGTAAAGCTGTGACTGTGAACAATCCCTTTTTTTTTTCTAGTTACCAAACTAAAAGTAAAAGCTACAGAAAGGCACATATATAATCATAATACATAATATGCATGATTCATGATAACTTTTCCCAGAAATAATATTTTTCATAGATTCAATTCACTTACAACAATACAGCATACCATATCTGACTTTAAAAGTCAGTGAAAATTAATAATTATGTAGTGGACTAGTGAGTGTAAAATGGAGACTTCATTTTCTACAACTTATTTGGACACCTTTTTGAATTAGCTGATCTAATTGATTGATGGGGATAACAAAAAAAAAAAAAAAAAAAAAACAAGTAAGAGGGACAGAGGAAATGAAAAACACAATATATGCAGTCTTGTGAATTTGATAAATCAACAACTCATAAAAAATGGAACATGGAATTGAAGCCTGAAAGGTGACAATTATTTAATGTTGTGATAAAAACATGTTTGATTGATTCTTCATGTTTCTGATACGCATTTGATTTTAGAGTAACATTATTTGTGAACTTTTGAGTTCCACAAATTTCCTTATGCTGAGAAAGCTCCTCTTGTCTTATTTTAAGCAAGTTTTTACCACTTAAAGTGGAGTTTCACAACATTTGGCTTATAATTTGCATGATTTGTTGTCATAATCTTTGCATGTTTTCCTACCTACAGAAGTATAATTTCACTACTTCAAATGGGATGTCACCAAAGGAAGAGTTATTTGAATAAAATTAATCATTATCTTTGTCTTTCATTGTGAATGTTTAGACATAATTGCTTGTCATCTGTCATGGACTGTTTATTTTACCTCTGATTTTATCTGTAGTATATAGGAGGATACTGTCATCATCAGTGTTCGTGTATCCATGTCTTACTGGTGTACTTATTTCAAATGTACTGGTTAATGTTCCCATATAAATAATTCTGCATTTGACATCTTGATGTGTTGTCTGTATAATAATAATCATCATCCCCGTGTGGGTTCTGGGGCCCCATTGTGGGGAAAACAAGAATAGACTCACTGCCTCCCCAAAAGCATGTCGTAAGAGTCGACTAATTGGGGAGCTTCCTTTGAAGTCGGAGTGCATCTGCCGGAGAGGCAAGGAACCGACAGTCTGTATTCAAGAGAATGAGATCTGTGAAACTGATGCACACGCAACACTCAGGTTCTGGAGCAGGACTGCAGTTCAGTAGTGGACGAGCAACCAGAACCTTCCGCCAGAGTGTACAGCTGGTGAACGCGAAGAAGAAGAAGAAGAATAATAATCTGTGGGTCATGTAGTACCGCCTTCTCAGTTTTCAAATGCATTTCCTGTCAGTGATGAAAGACCTTGTGGCAGTTTACAAATCCGTTATAAAGTCATGAATTCATTGTTTTGCTTTATTATTATTTGTAGTGTTATCTGATCCGTGCAGGATGTTTGGTCAGAATCCTCCTTTTCCATCCTCAATTTGTCATTGGGTGGATGAGTTAAGAATGGTACCAGTAAGAGTCTGATCATGAATCTGTCTCTCATATCTGTTAAATGTTGGCCAGATCCCTTGGTCACTCCCAGCAGCACCATTCTCTTTAGACCCAGATGATCTGTTTGTGCCTTTGCTCTGGGCACTCTCTTCCAAAGGGTCTTGACAATCTCTGGCTTGTCATGCATCAATTAACCACTAAGTGGTGCAGAAAAAGTCTATCTGTCGTTTGTTAATTTTCAACACATGTACGTGCCCTTGAAAAAAATATTTAAAGGATGCCAACTACTCAGCACCTCTGAAGTCATGCTTGCCATTCAGCTTGGAGCATATTGTTCTTAACTTTTTTTCAACATGTGTGTGCAGCTGGTTCTCAGGCCAACGGCAATGTCTGTCTTTACTTCCTTTCTCAAAACTAGATGTAAGGATATATCATATCATACACAAGGTGTTGTGCTAAGGTCATCCATTGAATTTTGCTATGAACTTCCCTATTCTATCCGTCTGCCTCTCAACACAGAGCCATCAGTATAAATCTTTACATCACCTGGGTAGAAATTATTATGAATCATTAGTTGTTGGTTGAACTTCTGCTGATTCTGCAGAGCTTATTTGCCAGTACCTGAGCTTCATCCTAATGTGATTAAAACCTGACACAAGTCTGACTGTTACTCAGACACTTTGACCCACTTCTTTCCTCGCCCAGCATCCTCAAAAATACACTTGTGTACTTTGTCAGCAACATATATTAAGCCTATCAGAATGATCATGCTGAATAGTATCCAAGAACTTACAGTAACCTTATTGCTGCATAAATGTCACACTCCTGCATGTCTCCTTTCTTTGACAGCTTTACAAGTTATCTTCTCTGGTCTGCTCAGTCTCTAGGACTGCTAAATAATCTGTCCAGCAAATTTATGTTGGCTTTTAATAGCTTCTGCTGGAGTACCATCATAACCAACAGGTTTCCACCTTACAGGCATTTGATAATTTTTCAAATTTCATTTTCAAAAGTAGTATTTACACAGTTGATATTCAGGCAGTAGTGTGTCTCCAATTTGAAGGTTGGCTGCAATGGATTTTCAACACCCCTTGTCTGTTGCTCAGATTTTACTCTCTGAGACTGCATTTAAATCATCGCCTGATGATATTCATCCACTTATATTTTCTTCTCACCATAGCTGTCCTTCATTATACTTTTTCCTTCCGGAAGGACTTTATAAGAATTCATATTAATTGTAGCAAAATATTTCTCTTTGATTTCTTTTTATTTTCATCCCAATTTTTTCAAAAAACTATTAAATGCTTTAGTTTATTTAAAATATCACTTTGCATATCTTCAGTGAGGTCTTTTAGCACTGGAGGTTGAGATACGTTGTCTGAGAGTGTTCAGTGATCTTTCAAAGTGTCCCTTTCATATAATTAAGCAATAACATGCTTTAATATGTGTATCATTGCTAAAACTAAGGTATCACTGCAAATCAGGTTTCCCCATACTGCAGTCAGGTTTCCCCATACTTGCTCCATTCCTGTGCCAGTGCGAACATATGAAATGTTCTTCACTGTCGTATAGGAAAAACTGGCGAATAAACAAGCACCGAAATAATCCAGAAATTTGTGCATGCAGTAAATAGGTATTTCAGTTGCTCGAGGCGCCAGAGCGACCAGAAATGCAGTTTGTTAATAAAGGTAGTCAGGGACGATAAGTTGGTTACTATACACACGTATAATTCTAAAATAAACTAGCTACCAGACACATTGAACAAAACCACACATCTGCACAAATGAAATGCATTCCATAGGAAAAACAGCTCACAGGGCTGCAACCAAGCACTAGTCTCAGTAGCTCAGGCATTAGCAAACCGCTGTCGGAAGCGCTTATATATTTTGCATATATTATTTAGGCAACACACTTTTCTGCTTGTGATGTCAATTGCAAAGTTGTTCACATGAGGTTCTTAACAATAGCTGCATAACATAGCTTTTACTTATTTGATTTTATAATCAAGCCAAATTTGAACATATTTCCTTTCCACACATTCTTGTTTTGGACAAGAACACATACCTGTGAATACCCATTCTTCTTCTCCGCATCCTACTCCTTCTTCAGCATTCCAAACCCTTGAGGTTCATTGCTGCAGTTTCAATCACCTCCATTCATCTCTGTGATTGACCCTCTCTTTACAATTGGTAACTCCCAGGTGTTTGCAGGTCTGCCTGTATATTATCTCTACTGTCTTCTTGGTCTGCCTTATGGTCTGTTGTGTTTTTGCCGGTCATCTGCCATTTTCTCTACTTTCTGGGTTTCTGAAATCTGTCATTGCGTTCCACAAACTGTTTTTATGTAGACTGTCATTTACAAATCCACAGAAACATTATGTACATCTCTTCTATATTCCCAGTTTTTCCTCTGCTAATTGCAGTAAGATGAATGTTTGAACTGTTGTTGCTCTTTTCTGTCAGAAACAGGCTTGATAATCACCCATTATATTTTCCATATATTGTTTCATCCAGTTTAGCTGTACTACCGATAATATATTATATTATAGCTTCTAGACAATAGGGATTGATATTCCTGTTACTTTTTTTTTGTTTGAAATTTTTTCATTTGTATCCTTTCTAAAAAAAAAAAAATGGCTTTTTCCATTTGTAGAGTGATTTCTCCCTCATCCAAACATATTTTCTTTATGTTAATTCATAAAAAATAATGCATGACAACCATCTTTTATTAAATCAGCAGCAATTTCCATCAGCACCAATAGCTTATTATTTGTTAGCTGTGTTATCACAAATAGTACTTACTGTTAGCAGTTTCTCCAGCTGACATGTATTTTGTTGAGCTTCACAATTTAACATTTCAGCAAATTAATCCTTCCACCTGTTACATATTTCTTTATTATTATTTATCAGGTTCCCATAATTATACCTGTGAATTCTGTATAACTTAAATAAGAGAACATTATATAATTTGATGGTCTTACTGTAGGAGCTGTAAAAAAAAAAAACTACACAGGACTTGTTACATACGTAAATGTAAATTTTATTTTATATTTATTTATAATTTCAGTAATTATATGGCCATAACATTATGCCAATTCAGTAACATGCACACTGTTAAAATATACTTTCACTCTTTCAAATTCATTGCACATCATTTGAAGATGGTAAGTGTTTATTTACCATGTATTTTGACCAGATGTTTTCGTCACATTACTGCATGCTGCATGTTTTTACTGGCACAGTATTGTCTATGATTTAGCAAGTTCTCACACAAGTGGTGAAACATAACAGTATAACTCATGAAAACAAATCCAGTCGAAACTTTGTCATGCAGCTGTTATTTCAGACATTGGTAATGGTTGTATTTAAACATAACTGAATTTGAATCTCTTACTATGAAAAAGAGCTAACAGACGGTATTTAAAACACCCACATTTATTTTTTGGTTAAAGTACCAATGTTTTTTTTAAATTTCCATGCTCTTGATTCAGAAATGTTCAGTGTACCATTAAATGATTTTTGTTTCTAAATACTTTAAAAATCACCAGAAATAGTATTTACTAAGGATTTCCATACGCCTGAGACTTCACTTGAAATTTTTATTAAACCAGTTGATGAATTTTGCTTTCACGATACTTGAGACTTCTAAACTTACAAAATACTGATAGTTGATCACATCTCCTCAGCCTTGCCATAAACAGCATTCGGTAGAAAATTCTATATATATATATAAAAAGTTCAAATGCTGATTTAATCATGAGAACGTTAACCTTGTGATGTTAGTGAAATTACCCCAGTGCTGGAAGGTGGTTTCTTGGATTACGTAAATTTGTCAGTCTTGTACTTTTAGCATTTAAATTAGCAAATACAATTTGATCTGGCCTACATCAACACTGATTGTTTTACAGAGGGCTTTGACAAGAGGGTTGCTTTAAACCTGGTGAGAGGCACTGCAGCCTTAGAAAGTTTGAATGACTACAGTTTTGAGCTGGTCTTATAGAAAATTCATAACAATCTTCCCCTCAACATGTTAGATGAATGTGGACTTGTAGTTTGGGACCTGACGTTTTATAATCTAGGAACCCATGTCAGTTAAAAAAAAAAAAGGCTCCATGAGAATTTGAACTTTGCCCCAGCTAGGGCAAGCTTCTGTACTTTGAATGCTCCCTCCTCATTCTTGAGCAGTTTTTGTCATTCTATAGCATATAGCCTGGATGTTGAGTTACCTCCACGACTGAGTTTCACATTTGTTCCTAGATCTACTAGGACATCAGCTTGGAGGTTTATTTGAATCCTAAATTTATTTCTGTGCATTCATGGTGTAAACATAGTTGGTGTGCATTGTTTTGTCATTCATTTTCATTTAATTGTGCCTGTTTATTTATATTAATTTACAAACTTTTGTGGATAGTTTTGGTATACAGTACTCATTGTTAGTTAATTTGTCTGCTTCTGTCCTTTATCTCCTAGTAGAGCATGGGCTTTCATCCAACTCGCACCAAGAGTTATTATTCATAGCTGCTTGGGTTCAGTGGGTAAAGTGTTTTATAAGATGCAACTCCAGACGTGACCTTTCCATTGATCACCTCTTGGGATATGCCTTGTAGGGTGCAGTGGTATAATTTATTGCTTTCTTTAACGGCCCTAGTAATTACTCCTGCAGTTGTGGAAACAAGGGCAGATAATTTTTTTGTTTCGTTTAAGTTCAAGAGTTATATTTCTGAGACATAGAAAAACACTGCCAGTATAGCAGACATGATTTTTCTGACTAAAGTCTGTCTTAACTTTGGAGAAAGGTGAACCCTGATACCAATATAATAAACCTTAATCCCTGGAAGACATTAAATAAAGATACCTCTAAAGGATTTAAATGCAGGATGAAGCAGAAGTGTAAATCAGACGCAATAGAAACTAGTGCTTGCTTATTCTTTCTCTGTGCCAATTATAAGCTGATATATTTTGTTGTTGACTGGATTGTCCTCTCAGCTTTAGTTTTTGAGGGATGCAGAAAGCACTGGGTTGCTGAATTATAGAAATGTTTTGACATACCCGGTATATTGGTGGAAGACAGAATGTGCACACTTGTATTGTAGCACCAGTTAGGCAGTGGTGTTTAAATATTACAGTAATAACTAAGCAGCTGCACATTTTTGTTAAAAATACATACACAGTGAAACTTACTATACAAATGTAATCCGTTTGGTGACTGAGCTCGTATGGAAAGTAACTCGTATCCTAAAACTATTTTCCCCATTAAAATAAATGTAGATAATTTATTCCAGTCAGAAAGTTAAAATTCACCCTAATAAATTCTGTTTAACCGTGTTTATCATAATAACTGCTTGGCACAGCCTTTTTGTATTATGGGTGTTACTTCCAACCTCGATGTTACTGGTCCATCATCATCAAGTGCCTTGTCCACTGGCAAAAGCGATTATACCTTTCTGCAATTTTCGATCTCTCAGCAGCATGTATCAGCTTGCTTGCTGACAAATTTCTGTATCATGACAAAATGCTATCAAGAATCTTTTGGCGTTTTCCTTTACTTCCTTTCCATAAATCTGAGGCACAGGGTATATTTGTTGTCAAATGAAAAAAGAAGAAGAGAGAAACAAACAATTAGACAGAGAGTCTGGAGCTGAGTAATCAGGATCTTTTTCTTCTTCACTTCCTCTGTTAGCGCTGTAGTTGTCGAGGGAGATCTAAGGTTCTGTTTCTAGCTCTTCTGGATCTAATCAGGATATTCCCATTCAACACTGTACCCTCATTTTCAACAGGCTTACTCAAGTCCTTCTTTACCAATGTGTAACCTGACTTGATCTATTTCTATTATTGAGATGCTGTTGGAAAACGCAGAGAGAGTTCTTTTCTTTCCAGCTCACATCCTGGATTTCATCTCATATTCTAGGACAAAATGTCATGAAAATCTCATTTCTGGGATACTCATATCCTGAGGTTCTACTGTATGTGTCCTTCTTTCTTCTTTTTTCTCTACACCTGAAATGGCTCACGGCATCAGGGGAGGAAGAGATCTCTAGAACGGGCCCTTCTGTAAATTACATACACTGTATATGTAAATGTAGAATTCTATAATGAGAATGGCAACATAAAGGTGTGAACCATAAACTGTTTCACAGTAACTAAAGAAGAAAATTTGGGCGTTAAACTTTTTGGAAAAAGAGTCTTAGCATATCATAGACCAAGAACAGGGACAATTTCTGAAATTCTTCACAATCTGAATGTTCAGCGTTGAGAAGGAATTTGGCTGGCTCATAAACAGTGCTTATTTGTTATAAACTAAAATACAAATGCTATAATGGTTTCAAGAGTACATAAATGGTTCCTGGAAGAAGATGCAGGGGTTGACCAGCACAGTGGTGAAACACATGATGTCATTGGTGCCCCAGGAATGAAAGTTTGCAAGGTGGTAGAGTTGGTAGGAAACTGGGTGGCATTCTGGCATGATGTGAAAAGACTGGTTACAAAGAACCTGCTACCCATCGATCATGATTATGATATAGAAGTAACCCAGACTTTAGTAATAATGTCCACAATACTTGATCTTGAGCATGTTATTTTATTTGAAATAAATAGTCTATACTAAACTCCATTAATTGAGATGTTTATGTCATTGCAAATCTTCATGCTTTGGTCTTTTTGACTGACTGACTTGTAGAATCACCGTACAAAGTCACATTTATTAATCAGCATGAAGGTGTACATTTATATTGCTGGAAAGGAAAGTTTTTTGTTTTGTTTAAATAAATATTAGCATAATTATTGTTAACTACTTGTTGTCTTTAATCAGTCGTATCTATTTTGCAACAAATGGGATATTGAAATAACAATTGCTTTTACAAAATAATCTAATTTGCTTTTACAAATACTAGGCTAAACAGGGAATGCATGTGCAGTGTTTTTGGTCATATGTTTAGGGCTTAAGTGTTTGCTAACTTAGATCTTTATTGTATTGTATACTGTTTAAGGAAAAAACATTCAAAGTACTAATAATTTAAAGAGCTAATCAGTTGAAAAGCACATAACAAGTACATTAAACCTATAAATTATGGAATAAAACAGGCTAACAACACTATACATCCTTTTAAAGGTGATGGCAAGTACAATAAAAAGCTAAAAAATGGCTTAAAATCATGAATAAAGAAATTAAACACAAATCAACTGAGAATCACCTGTACATGCATGTTGTAACTGACTCACAGAGCTTGCTGAGAAAAGTGGAGACATCTTGCAGAGTGGCAAGCATCATTTCAAAGGTCCTAGGTGGTTAGCATCCTTTGGATGTTTTCTCCAGGTCATGCCAGTGTGTTTGGAAATGAGCAGGCAGATAGACTGGCCACTTAGGGGTGAACTGATGTATGACAAGCTAGATATTGTGAAGGCCCTTTGGAAGCGAGGCACAGATAGATCATTACTTACAGATGCTCAGCACTCAGAGAAAGGGCGAGATGGATATACAATCAGGAACGGAATGGAAACTCTTTGCTTGCTGCTGAAGATGGAGATGGAGCACTTATGGGAATGTACCGAGCACTGTAATGTTAATTTTAAATTCATAATTCAGAGAAATGAAAAAAAAAAAAGAAATCTATAGTAGTAACAGCAGCAACTCTGTACCCAAGTTGTAGCATTATAAGATTGGAATGGAATATTACCTTTTTAAAAATAATGTTATCTTGACATTAGTTTATTTTGCAGTTTCATGGTTATATCAGTCATAATGTGTGTGTGTGCGCGTCTCTCTCCCTATCTTTGTCTTTCTCTCCCACTCTTTATCTCTCTCTCTCTCTCTGTTCAACCTATAATGTTGAAGTATGCAAGTATATGTGATATGTCAGCTCTCTGTCTTTCAAAATGTCCTTGTGTGTTTGTATAGGCAGTCTTCAACAACTCATGAAGCTTGAATAACATGTGCTTTTCTCAGTTTACTGCATTCTTCAACAGATTTGCTTTATTGAACCTGGAATGAGAAATTATTACATTAGTAACAATTAAATCTTACTTCTCAGCCATGTTTTAATCTTCTTTCTGTTGTAGCATGTTGTCTCTTTGTTTAGCATGTACTTGACATCGTAATTATGAGTTCATTCAAAAACTAGTATCACTGCATTTAGGATATTTTCATAAGCACACTACCCCCATCTTCAGCAGCTGGCATAGAATTCAAATTCCAGTGACAAGAATAGAACTTTGTGTTTGCCAGATCCCCTGGTCATTCTCTGCTGAACCTTCCTGTAGAGGCATATAAAGTAATGGGCACATTTGCATGCCCTAGGGCTTACTGGGTAAATGCTGCTAGCCAAATATTTTTTATTTGACTGATCAACATTTGATGGAAGATTTTATCAAGATAACCACTGACTCCGTTAATGTCTCTGAAATCCACTGGTGTCATTTGTAGGCTGGGTCAGTCTGGAAATAAAGTTTATTAAAAACACCTGCCTAAAACCAGAAACTAACACTGAGAAACCAGTGCTCTGATATCTGCACATGTCAATCATAAAATGAATACAACAGAAATAGACTTACTGAGTGTGGTTCCTGTTAATGCCTCTTTATTTGCTCTGAATTGTTTACTTTAGTACTTTTTTGGAAATTTTGTCAAATGGTGAAATAGATTGTACGTACAAGTAAAGAAGTAGATACTGAGAGGCAGATGCTAGATTTTCCGACAAATTGTTCCCTATGTGAGTTCTGGGACCATGTGGGTCACCAACAAACTGTCCTACAGTCAGTCAGTGGTGTTTCCTTCAAAGTTGAAATGCATCTGCCTGAGAGTTAAAGAACCAACAGTCTGTAATCAGCCTTATCTATAAAACAAGACAAATCCAGAAGTAGACCAGAACTTTCCACCAAAGTTCAAAGCAGGTGAATGCTAAAAAGAAGAAGATAAATTGTAGCTTAAAATGTTGCTTAAAAAGGGTAGGAACTGTTATATTTGCAATAATGCATTAAGTGTGGCAGAAGTCAGCAAATACTATTAGCATGGAGACGTGACTTTTAGAGATCAAGTGGGAACATAAAGCTTACATTATGCTGAATTAATCAAGTAACAGAAAGTATTGTGAATGGCACTTATAGAAAGAAGTAGAAAGATAGAAGAACACACGAGACAACATAAAAATCGAAAGCTATAGTTACTGTGCCGGGAATTCGGGAATCTGTCACCTCCAGACGGCGTCAGTGCCTCACCACTAAGATACATGGTCAACTAGGCACCCCCCCAAAAAAGGTGTCTCATTGGCCATGTCTATCGTACAGCTTGAAATCCACGACTATGGAATACGGACAGAATTCATTTCAACCCATTGAAATGGCACCATAGGTTACAGAAATTTATATTAACGAAGCAAATGTCGAATAACAATCACAGCAACAATTTACGAACACAGTAGGACCTTATTGCTTTGTCTAGAATACACAAACATTTAAGAAAGGTATTTGATTGGTAGGTTCCGGTATGTATACGTCATTCCTATAAATAAACAGAGGGGGGAACCATTTGAGGCCGTTGAATATTATGAATTAATCAAGTAACAGAAAGTATTGTGAACGGCACTCATAGAAAGAAGTAGAAAGATAGAAGAACACACTAGACAACATAAAAATCGAAAGCTATAGTTACCGTGCTGGGAATTGAACCTGTTACCTCCACACGGCATCTGCGCCTCACCATGAATACAAGTGCACTAAGATACATGGTCAACTAGGCACCCCCCAAAAAAAGGTGTCTCATTGGCCATGTCTATCGTACAGCTTGAAATCCACGACTATGGAATACGGACAGAATTCATTTCAACCCATTGAAATGGCACCATAGGTTACAGAAATTTATATTAACGAAGCAAATGTCAAATAATAATCACAGCAACAATTTACGAACACAGTAAGACCTTATTGCTTTGTCTGGAATACACAAAAATTTAAGAAAGGTATTTGATTGGTAGGTTCTGGTATGTATACGTCATTCCTATAAATAAACAGATAATATTTAACGGCCTCAAATGGTTCCGCCCTCTGTTTATTTACATTATGCTGTTAGTTGTGTAAAAATTTGGGATGTCAAGATATTTGTTGCATTTAGAGGGCATGCCTTTTGGAACAGACTGTAGATTACTCTACAGTGTTTGTGTTTTAGATTTGGTCGTGTTTATCTCATAGTTAAATTACTGCACTCAGCTTTAAAAGGTTGATTAAGTTTAGTGTAGTTTGTTTCTGCATGACCTGAACTTAGTATGCACTAGGGATGCAGGTGATGATAACTGGACAGCATAGTGAAAGAAAAAACAATTACTGAGTACTGATAAAACATTGTATCTGATAAATTAAAACATTGCTCTTTACTTTTTATTTCCAGTTCGTAAGCCACCTAATATTATAGAGCCAAACAGTCCTAAAACATTGTACTTCAGCTCTAACAGTAATGTTGAGATCAAGTGCAGGGCTGAAGGTGTGCCAACACCGACGTAAGTAGTATAGTTTGACTCTTCTGTCACTTCATAAATCATTTTAGCATTGTTAGCAAAAAAGACTAAGTATTGCATCAAATGAAACAGAACAGAAGAGAACACTGCAAGGCAAAATACTGGAAACAAAGGAAATTGAGCAAATACAAATCACAATATAGAAATATGCATAAGTAGTGTCATTGTATATTTTTACTTGAATGAGTGGTGACTCAACAGAGAATTTTTTGTCGGGGGCCCTGAATAAATCTGGGCCACAAATGTGGCCGCAACGACCTGAATAAGGCTTCTGAGACCTCTCCACGGCTGATCCTTATACCTACGGTGGCACTTTGTGTCACCTGGTGTTTTTCGCTTGTGTAATGTCCTGGTGGGGTGCAGCAAGCAAGCAGCAACTCAAAGATATATCAAGACACAGAATGAATGGTACAGATTCAGAAAAACTGAGATATATATATATATATATAAGCATAATTCAGTGCAAGATTTCAACGCTGTGACAGATATAAGATCTTTGCTCTTGTGGTCAGGGCTGTTGAAATGGAAAGCGTTGATATGTTGTGCTGGCGACCATATGCGCCTCTCTTTGGAAAATCATCTATTCACAATCTAGGTATCCTCAGTCCAGGAGGCATCAACGTCTAGCATACATTCATCTAAACAGTTTTCCTGTTGTCTCAGTTTATTGTTATGCTTATTTTATTTAATTTCACATTATTACTTTATTCTGTCTCTTATCAGTACCATTTATGGATCATTCACATTTAAATTTCTACTACTCTTTTATTCCTACCTTTATATTATATATTATCACCTTTACTTTTTTTTGCAATTTTTTTTCTAGCCTACCTTTATTTTATTATTTTATTTGTGTTTTGTGCACATTATTTGGCTTCCCAATTTCGTTAAGCTTTTCGGTCATTGTTCATTGGATTAATTGTTATAAGGGTTGTTGTTTAAACGTTTTTTTCTTCTTTGTGAAATGTACAGCAAAATATGTTTGGATTGTGCAGAATACTTAAATCATTTGCCATGTCTGGAACGGGCATTGGTGATCATAACTCTCTAGAATTTGTCGTCTGTATTTTGCGGCATTGATGTTGTTATATTAATTCAGCCCTTTAACCCTTTCGCCTACAGAAAATAAAATATAGTCACTTTCAGTTGTGACACTTCATTTTCCCATAAATGCTGATATACGGCCATTTCACAATCTTTTTTTCTCAGAAAACAAAATTAATTTTTGTTGTTTGGTCCTATGTGAGTCTGCGTAGTGTTTGCTCAGATGTGAATATATTAACTGAATTTAGTGTTTACAGTTTCCTGGTGACACCACAGGGGCTTTTTTCAAAGATAGGTTTACTTAAAATATACCCCTAAGCTGATAGAGGTCACAGGGTGCAGCGTAAGTCACCCGATATTTGTTTTTGCACTGAGAATGCATTACACATGGCATTTATGTGCTCCACATTTTCTATATTATATGCCACAGATTTCCAGGAAAAAAATAATGATCTAGTAGTAATTCCTCCAGGTTTCATTACATTAGCATTCTGCTTTGTCTACAAAATTCTCAGCAATTTCAACAATATCCACATTTACATCTTCTAGTGTCTTCTCTTTTTCATCACTAACTTATCACTTCAAATTTGTACAGAATGATTCCATACAAGAATTTGTAAAATTGTGATTTGCAGTATCTGTCTGGCACTTACCTGCTCCACATTTTCTATTGTATACCAGATTTCCAGATTCTGCTGATAAGTGATCTAGCAGTAATGCCTGCAGATTTTATTACCTCAATATTCTTATCTCTTTCATCACCCTGACTATCCAGCATTTAAATTTGAACAGAAGAATATTTCCATAAGAGGATAACAAAATTTGATATATTTCTTTTTTAAGAACCAAAATATGGACATTATTGCTTGAATAAAGGATGTGGCATTGTACATAATTTATATATTCTATATTTTTTAAGTGAAGTTACTGTGTACAATTATGTGTACTGACCTTTTTTTTTTAATTGCTGAGTAAGGATACTGGAATTAATTTGTTCTTGGAAATTGCCATGTATTCAGTTTTTCAAGAGCACTGTCCTGATCATATTTCTGGTGACTGTAAGAGATAGTAATTCATTACCATGTAGGATTATCAGCATAGCACATGATGATGCTGCTGTCAGTAGAAGTGCTTGCAATCTGTTTCCTTTAAATAATACATCATCTACCTGAGAATTATCTTGTATTCTATTGAACACAGGTACAAATGGACCAGGAATGGGAATCCGATCACTGTAGACAACTTGGTGCAGTATGATTCAAGTTCTGGTTCACTGAAAATTCCAGATTTTACCAAACGTGAAGAAGGCACTTACATGTGCATTGCTAGCAATGTATTTGACAATGAAGGTGGAAGAGTAACGGCTGCCAGTTTTGCTCCACCAGTCAAGATATTTCAAACACGTATGAAACATTATCATAGAGAGTAGATGCCTATTTGTGTTATGTGAAAAATTACATACTGTTTACTATTATATTTGGTAATTGAGATAATCTGTTGATTTATTTAAGTAGCAAGCGGAACATTACCACTTTAGAATATTTGATAAACATTATTAACTCTAAGTTGTTTGATATACAGTAAAACCAAACTGCCAATAGAGGTTGCCAATGAAAGGTTCACCATTCACCCATTCTAGACTACCATAAAATGATGTAGAAAGTAGGGGTGACTAGTCGAGCTGATGTGTTCATGACTTTTCCTGTTTCTGCATTAGGCTTCCTAGTTGTAGCGTGTGTGTGTTATTTCACCACATAATCAAGTGGGGTGGTTGATTACCCTAATCATTGCATTTGCTGATGAAATAATTCTTAGAAAATTCTGGATTGTCTGCATCATTTTTATTATGCTAGATCAACCAAAGAGAGGTACTAAGTAAAGGGCCCCTTTTCACACTCGTGGCATAGTATGCACATGATGCTAGGCTTCTATTTTTGTAGACCAGACAGCATTTGAGGGTGGTGTGATTAACATCCTGTCGACTGCCTTTACTTCCCAGGACTTTACCTGAGTTCCATTCAGGCTGAATGAAACTGTTGCAAACGTCATGTTTGAAAACAAAATCTGATTCATGCAGATACAAACCTAAGGCCTTTGTGCCTTCATGTGAGTGTTTACCCGCTACACCACTGTGGCTCCCCAAGAGAGGGTTTTGACTGGTGAAAAATAATACTGCCTCAGCTGAGGATTTGAACCCGGACCTCTGTTTTGGCAGACAAGCACACTCCCCTACTATATCCTGTAATTAAATCTTGGATCATCTTTACTGAATACTGATTTAAGAATCGACATCATAGCACATTAATACTTTGTCTCCTGCAGCAAATGTCCAAAGCTGTAGAAGCTAACTGTTCCCATAGCACACTGATTATACACATGTGGTTCTTTTCCTCTCATCTGTCCCTCCTTGCTGGATCTACTCTTAATTCCTCGTTCACACATTCTTGCACATGTTATTTCATCTAATCTCTCATGTCTTCCATCAGCAGTCATTCATATATGGTCTTCAGAATAGCTGCCTTGTCCAGTGTGTGTGTTCCCGTAGCTTTCGCTTTGGTAGCCAGAAAATGTGTTCTTTCACTCCCTCGCTGTCCTGCATGTCCCAGACAATATATCTGTGTGATTCCCTGCAATGTTGCTGCACTGATGCATGGTATCCACGCATGCCACATTAGTCCATTGTGAACTTTCCGCAGTGCCCACTGAGAATCAGGCACATTAATTTCTCTGGTTACTTTTTCTGCTATCCAATTCAGAGCTGCAGTGACTGCCTCCACTTACATCCTCATCCTCATGCTCATTCTCATCCTCCCCTTGATTCAAGCTGAAAATCCCCAGCCAGATATTACACCTCGATGAATAGAACTATCGGTTTACACTACTATTCTAGCCCAGCCTTTCCATTTGTCACTAATTGTACCCCTAATTCTTCTATACCGTCACACCACACTCTACATTCTCTTTCTAACCTGATGATGACCTGATGGAAACTGCTGTTTTGGGTGTTTGTGTCAACCCATTCCTGCCCTCTGTGTATTTGCTTGACCGATATCTTGTGTGCAACCTAAGGCGATTCTCATTTCCTCATTTTGAACCCTTTCAAGCTTTGTACACTGTCAAGTAGGTAGAGGTTATTTTCCTAGGCCATAATCAATTACAGAAAGGACCAAATGGTTGAACAATCAGACCAATAATCTCTGCTCCACGTGTGTCATCACTATCATCTTCGGTACCGCCAGGCCACGCTTGCATCTGATCAGTCTGCTACCTGTGATATTTGTAGGACAGACTGCGATGAAACATCAAACCCAAGTATTTTAGCTTATCTCTTCTTTCAACATTAATACCCTTCATGCATATGTTGGGCAAGTCTTCCTTTCCGACGCTGTTTTTTAAAGAGCACCGCAAAAAAGTGAACATGACAGGTTGTTAGCTTTTATTTTAAAGTGCACACTTTTCTGGGGATGTAGACAATCAAGACACATGCGTACGGGCACATGATCGCACATACACACCCACAAGTTTGTGAAATATTTCGAGATTATAAAGATCACAGCAACATCTGGTGTCTAACTTAGTTATGGAAAACATTTTAATGGAATTAATGACAACAAGAAGCCATGTGCTAGAAGATGTATAAAGTCTGTTTACATGCATACATCTTGTGATTAGAAAGGATTGTCATCACAGCACTCTGGGCAGATACATAGGTGCCCCGATCTCCTCCTCAATAGCTCTACAAGTCTAAAACAACTGATTTCACCTGTTCTGTTTTGGGTAATGAAACGTCTTGTCCCACATCTTGTGATGTGTCTAATAAAAGACTGTTCTTTAGCGAAAGATGTGATTTCCTTCCTCAGGGGTTGAGAAGTTTATTGATGCGCCTGAAACAAGGCAGCAGGTGACAGAGTATAATTATGCAGTGCTGCCTTGTGCCAATAAAGGTGAGGTAGTTGGCTCTGATATTAACACAAACTGGTATGAAAGTGAGAAGTCCAAAGATGTCAGCATGGATTCAGGTCGTCTCTTCATTGATCAGGAAGGTAAGACAAACCTGATTGATCTTTCTATGTTAAATTATGAAGTTTTTTTTTTGGAGTAAATGAGACCAGTCAGTAAAACATTCGAGCAATTATTTTATGAGCATACGTACACAGTATGGTCCACTTATTTTTTACGCCAGAGTAAGTGTGTGTGTGTGAAGACAGTAAGATGGGGAGACAGAAAGAGTGAGATTAGGAAACAGGCTGAGATAAAGAGAAAGAGACTGAGTGAGAAGAAAGAGATTAGGAAGTCATAAAGAGAGAGAAGGAGACACTGAATATTATAGGGAGACATGGAGAGAGAGGGAGACATAGAAAGGGAGACAAAGGAGAGAAAGAGAGATACGAAAAATGTGTGTGAGAGAAAGAAAGAGAGAGAGACCTTTTTACATTAAAGGAAGAATGGACAGCGAGCAAAAAAAAAAAAGCAGTTTCATTATTTACTAGTTGGTTTTCATGACTAAGTGGGTTAACCTTTTGGTATATACTCTTCTACCTGTCATGAAAAAAGCTTAGTTAGGGCTTTGCTGAAATCAGATCTGTTGGACCAAAAGGCACAGCCTAGCTGTAAATGTAATTTTTGGTTTGTTTTTGCTGCAGAAAACACAAATCATTATCATACGATGAATTCAAACCCAGATCTCTTAAGTGAGAGCCTAGTCACAAGGGAACATTTAAACAAGTATGATACATGTTACATTCCAGATAAGTTGGAAGAATATGCCTGTTTCCCATTTAGAGTGAAGACTATTCTGTGATTCTAGGCAATCTTCACTTCTCCTTCGCACGGATCTCAGATGCCACTGTGGGCTTCATATATTTGTGTGGTATCTCAAGTACAAGTGACAAGCTCATCCGACTCGGCAATGCTAATATCCTCAGTGTTATTCCTGTACAGAGTAAGTATTGCTAGATTTTTTTTATGTTTTATTATTTTGGGTGCGCACCCAATGCAACAAAATGGTGGCTGGAAATTCACTTCTCGATTTGTTCATGAAAATCCTAAACTAAGCTGTCTACATATATATGTGTGTGTGTGTGTGTGTGTGTAACCTGTATTTCTGATAAAAAAATGACTGCCAGAAGATTGCAAAAGTGTTTCTGAACTGCATCAGGACATTGTGTTTCTGACTGCCTTTATTTTGATGTAAGTTTATAGTCAAGGTTGTCGGACCCCACCGGGCGCATCATAATGGTCAACGAAGCAACAATGCTATGTCTAGCATTAAGTACAAATGTTGATGCGAGAATGATGCCTAAGTCCTATTTACAGGTGCACAACACTTGTTATGGTGGTCAGTTTGGTCCCATATGCCAGTACGTCAATCTAGTATACCAGAATAAATTAAAATTACTGAAGTCGGAGGCAACCAGCCAGGAGGCGCACCGTCAAAAGCAGGATTCCACGCACAAACGCCAAGTATGCTGCCTTCAGGAGACATACCTCAAACAAGACATAGCCTTTAAGGTCAGAGGTTACCAGTGTTACCGCTCTGACAGAAAAGACCTAAGGAGGGGTGGAATACTAACCCTAGTCAAAGAAAACATTTACGTGCCAGACTGAAACATCACATGAAAGGGGCAGAGTACCAGATTTTTAAACTCAAGACAGAAAACACAGATTTCCAACTAATCAACTATTACTGTTTGAAAGACCACCCTCGGGCACTGGATACAATAGCAGTAAATAAAAGAATGATTGTGTGTGGTGATTTAAACAGTCATTCAGAAAGCTGGGGCTACGATCACATGGATCAGAAGGGAGAGAAACTGGAGGACAGTCAGGATGAAAACAGATTCATTCTCATAAATAAAAAAACTGACCCACCAAACTTCTACTCAAGAGCATGGCATACCTCTATGCCAGACCTAGCCTTTCATTCACCAGACATGGAATGGAATATCATTAGAACTGTTGGGAAACAACTAGGAGGCAGCGATCACTGCCCAGTCTTTCTAACGATAGAAAACATGTCTGCAAGAAAGAGTAGCACTCTACCAAGATGGAATTACAAGAAGGTAGACTGGAAATAGTATCGACACCTTACAAGTGTTTTGGTTCAAAATATAAAAATAGATAACCATGCAGACAAAGTAGTAGAAGAGTTCAGCAAAATGTATATATTGCAGGCAGCCCTGGAAACAATACCAAGAGGTGCACGTAAGCAATAAAAAGCATACTAGAATTGTGACTCAGAACAGTTGCACAATGATATGGAAACTGAAAGAAAGAAAGCCGAAATCATACCTTTTCAGGAGCAGTTCAACAGATACCAACATGCAAAGGCCAAATTTCAAAGAGCCAAGCTGCAGGAGAAGGGTAAGTCGTCAAAAAAAAAAAAAAGTCTTTAAACTTTGAAAGAGACACAGGGAAGATGAGGAGGCTAAAACAAATTATTGACGAGAGTACAGGAAGGAAGGAAAATACTACAATATATTCAGGAGTCATCCTATTAAAAAACAACAGGCATTTGATCACTTTGCAGATTTATTTGCTAAAGATAGCAACATTGATTTCAGTCCACAGAAACAGCAAGAGGTTCGAGAGAAACGACAACACTCAAGACAACGATGTAATTCCTGTGGTAATGGAAGCACGTTTAGCAAATTTTAGTTAGCAATATCAAAGCTGAAAATGGGAAAGTTGTCTGGAATTGATGGAATAACCAACGAAATGATCAAGAACCTAGGGACAACAGCAAAACAAAACTGCTGCAGTTTGTTTAAAAATAATTGTTGGGCCAGTGGCAACGTTTCACAAATATGGAGATTAGCAATCATGATACCTCTCCTAAAACCAGGAAAAGACAGTACCAATGCCTCCAGTTATAGACTAATCAGCCTTACCAGCTGTTTCTGTAAAACAATGAAACGCATTGTCAACCTTAGACTCCAGTGGTACATGGAAAGTGAAAAAAATCTTTACTCTGCATCAGACAAGCTTTAGACAGTGCTTCTCTACAGAAGACCAGACAACTTACCTCTCTCAAGCAATTGAAGTTGCCTTCCAGTAAAAGAAACTAGTGCTTGTAGAATGGATAGATTTGAAGAAAGTTTTTAACAAGGTCTGGAAAGGTCTCATGAAGAAACTTCAAAGTGAATGGGAATATGTACAGATGGGTGAAATCATACTCGTATAACAGAAAAACCCGAGTACAGATAGATGGACTATGTTATTTTTGTTTATCCTCATGCACAAAGTACATAAGTATTACTTAATTTATATCTTTTTCTATGAATGACTTTCTGTAGAGAGATGTTTGTATACAAACTCTATACAAACTCCATTTAGAACGTAAATTAATATTCAGATGTTGAGTTTGAAATGTATTCATTAAAGATTGGTCACAGATAATTATTTCTCCTTCACTTGGATATCTACTGTGAGGGCTTCTGCGACTGCATGAGTTAACCAGATAAACAGTTTTAACAATGTTCCCCAAATATTTTTAAAACATTGGAATTAATTAAAGTTGAAAATGTTTCTAAGTTAAAAAAAAAAAAAAAAAAAAAACACACACACACACATCACACACACACACCACACACACACACACACACACAAGTAACTTCTATTTGTCTGTGACAGATCCAACAGCTATCAAACCACAATTGCAGTACAGTAATTCAGGCGTGAAAGCTCTGAAATTCAGCAAGGCCAGGCTTGAATGTGTTTTCTCAGGATAGTAAGTATACATTAATAGATGATTTTAAATCCATCATTCTTTTGTCAGTTTTAACAGTTATACCCAACCCTGCTGTATAGTGCAAAAACCTGGACAATGAACAAGCAACTAGAAAATCAAATTAAGTCTCCGGTGATGTGGATATATAGAAGAATAAATAGTATATCATGGGGAAAATATCATCCTGTAACACTGCATTGTGTTGGGTCACCAGTTGCCGTTGACAGTCTTGATCAGCTCCCTTTACCTTTGACAGTAATTCAAAGTGGACTTCATGTTTGCATGCCTAAGGCCTGCCCAGTCAGTCAAGCTAAGAATCCAGTTCTTTCTTGGTCTGCCTCTTCTTGTCTTCCCCTCTACTCTGATCCGCCAATCAACATTGTATATCTTGGGCAGTATTTCAACCCTGGTGGATCCCAGTCCCCTCTGGCCTGGCCATTTCCCTGCTTCCAGTCTGCTTGTGCGACCCTTTTTAAATCCATATTTATAGCTCTGCCAAAGAAACCAGGCACGTTAAAATGTGAAGACCATCTGTAGCAGAGTCATTACTCATACCGCCTTTTAGTGTTGTGCTGTCTGCACGACAAGACCTCTCAAGGCCTTTACCCTTGTTTTTGAAACTTTTCCACTGAGCTTGGTGAGCGAACAAAGTCCATAGGTCCCTGTCCTTGTTTCCCACGGTACTTCCAGTCGTCTGTCTAGACATCATGTGACTCTCCCCGTCCAGCACAAAACAATAAGTTGTTTTTCACATTGTTAAAATTTTTCCACTGAACCGGGTAGCTAAAGTCGCTGCAGACTCTGCAAAACAATGTGGCTGGGAGGTCCCGGGAGCAGGCTAGTAGCACCTTAATTAGCGACTGCCCGGAACCTATAGGGAGACAAGCACCGGCCAGCTGAACAGGGAAGGAAGTCAGGCTTGAGGGCAGGTTAATTAGAAAGTATAGATAAGAAGATAGATAAAGTTATAGATGTATTCCATCAGAATCACTGTCAGAAACCGTGGACCAGTTCAAGAAGTTACGTTTGTTTTTACACGTAAAGACGGACTAGCACACGTATACAACTTCACAGTAAGGGAATTAGACATCTATTTTAACCGACCCTGGGTCCAGCCGGATTCAGGAGTGGATACTGACTTGGGGTCAGAAGAAGGAGAAGAAGAAGATGCAGGGGTACAATATACTAAAAACTACACATAGGCCGGACTTCCTGGAGATCCCCTGTTGTATTTTAGAAGAAGAAAGATGAAAACTTTTTAGACCAAGCTGCACTAGGAGCCCGGTGGCAGTTACAGACACTAGAGCCAGTTATTTTTCAACCTTGTTGATGACAATAAAGATTTTAGACTAGAACGGTTGTGTTTTTCTTAGAACAATTCAGTTTGTGAGCAACGGTTATGTGAGAAGCACGCGATTAACAAGACACCATCACCACTATCGACACGACCATCCCTATTCTTATCTTCACTTTTATCATCATCGGCTACCCTTGTGGCAAATATAAACTCGAACCTGGGTTCCCTTATAATATAGGCAGAAAAGGAGGCAGCTGTGCCACACATCGCACAATAAGTCTTATGAGTCACATGACTAAGATTTTACTGAGAATAATTATGAGAAGAATAAAAAACAAAATTAGATCAGAAATCAGCGATGAACAATGTGGATTTGTAGAAGGAAAAGGTACAAACAATGCCATATACATACTAAGGACATTGGCAGAAAGAGCTATAGAAGTAAAGACTGATTTGTACTTATGCTTCATAGACTATACAAAAGCATTTGACTGTAAAGCATGATGAAGTAATCAAACTGTTAGAAAAACTAAACATTGATGGGAAAGATCTACGAATAATAAAGAATATGTATTGGCAGCAAACAGCAGCTATAAGAATTAACTGTTCAGGTACATTTTAAAGCATAAAGAGGGTCGTACGACCAGGATGTGTACTGTCACCTGATTTGTTTTCAATATACAGTGAATATATAATGAGATCTTTAATTGTTATACCCGGAGTTGTGGTTGGTGGGCACAATATAAACAATTTACGTTATGCTGATGACACAGTTTAGATAGCAACAAGTCAGAAAGAACTACAGGAAATTATAGACATTGTGGTGTTAGAAAGTGGAAGAATGGGCCTCAGTTTGAATAATGGGAAGACAGAAGTAATGCTGGTATCAAAGAAACGAATTATTCCTAAATGTGTAATAAAAGTTGATGGTGTTGTTTTAGGACAAGTACAGAAATTTAAGTATCTGGACACATAGATAACTTCAGATGGAAGATGCAGAAACAGAATAGGACAGGCAAAAACTGCATTTTATAAAATGAAAAACACCTTGTGCAAAATATCCTTTGTTATTTAGAGTTAGAAAAAGAATTCTTGCTTGCTACATACATCCAGTTTTAACATATGGCTGTGAATCCTGGACAATCGGTAGGCAGGCCAAACAATTTGTTGAGGCCTCAGAGATGTGGTTTTACAGAAGAATGCTTAGAATTATTTGGACAGCCAAATAGAGCAACCAAGAGGTTTTGAAAGAGGCGGGAGCTTAAAGACAACTTATCACAGACATCAGAAGGAGACAGTCATCATTTTTCAGCCATGTTATGAGAAGAGGGAAAATGGAACATGTTGTGACCACTGGAAAGATCTGTGGAAGGAGGGATAGAGGAAGACAACGAGAGAAAACAGTCTTGTTTGCATAGCATGAAGGTGTGTTGGCACACGAATTGATACCTGCTGCAGGAGATCGCAGATTATGGAGAGACATGATCGCCCACGCCAGTCGGCAAGGCACCTGATGATGATGATGTGTGATTACAGAATAGTGGCAGGCTACTAATTTTTTGCTTTTCATCCTCCTAGGAGAGCTAGTTGCCCCTAACATGGCTGGCTAAAGTATGACCCCACCTTAAAAAAATACTGAGGTTTTAAATAGTAAAAAGTAAAGTAAATTAAAACTGAAAGAATTAAAGAAAGAGATGTCAAAGATGTGAAATATGTCATGACACTTGAGCATACTGGTCAGACCCTTAGCTGTTCTTTCAGTCTTGAGGTTGGGTGCATATCGTTTACAGAAATGGCCAACCAGGCAAAGAATTTGTTGGCAGTATGTAGTTTTACCAGGCAGTTTTACATGTTGTAGTTTGCCACTGGTTTAGGAATGGTTGACACTTATACATATGTCAAAATCAACACTAAGTGGTTTGTTGCTGAATCAACTGCAGCTAAATCAAACTTGTTTTTTGTCAGAATTGTGAATTTGCATTTATGACCCCTTAGCCACAGATGCCAACAGTTAAATCACTCAGCAGAAAAGATATTTTTGTTACTTTCATCTGTCTGAGCTTCATAATTATATCAGAATCTTCATCAGTTGTGCATCTTCAAACTGTTGGACCATACTGTAGCATACCAGTTGCTGACACTATCTATAGACAGATGAAAGGAAATTTGAAATAGCTGTGGAACTTTAGAATAAATAATCTGCCTTCTTGCTATTTTTTTTAAAGCATTGTTGTATAGGTGGGATTTATGAAATTAGCTTTCCTGTTTTTTCACTTGTAAAATTATAATTTTGTTTTTCAGTGACCCAAACCCACCTCATGTACCAGTTATACAGTGGTTTGAGGATACAGGAAAAGAAATCTCTAGTTCCACGGATAAGTTTACACTTTCTGAGGACAGACGTGCACTCACTATCAACAATCTGCAAGAGGAGGATGAAAGGAACTACTATTGTATGGCCAGCAACTCAGCTGGCAATTCAGGAAAAATGGCAGTCTTTTTGGATGTTACTTGTGAGTGCTCTTTTCTTGCCAGACAATTTGGCTTTCAGGACAATTCAGATATCATATTCTCTGATTAATCATCATTATATGTCAGACTGATTAGTATGGGCAGCCATGATTTACCATCTTATATGATCACCTGTATCATGGATCAATATGCCCGTGCTGTATGGACAAGCTGCTTAGATATTTATCTGTTTATTTTTTCCTATTGCTTCCCCCCTAAATCTTATCCTTCTTTTGTCATTACACTGTTACCAGGTTGTAGCCCAGTGTTGTGGTTTTCTGTATTTTCTTGTGCTTCTCAAGTGGCTTGAGTGATGGTTTTATTCATAATTTAGGGTTAGGGCCAGTTGTGGATGTCACTGGCATATGTAGGAATTGAAATAACATAAGAATTAAAGATTCATAGTTTTGGAGCTCCATATTTTGTTAAGGCTTTTAATGACTGTTGTTGCTTTGCCAGTGCGTATCATAATTTTCTTCACTGAATCTCCCTGACAGTCAAAATTGCTACCCAAATAGCGAAATGTCTGTTAACTTTTTTTGGGTTTTTATCTAGCATGGCATATACATAATCTGTTGTTGGTATCTTTAATATATTTGTTTGTATCTTTAATATATTTGTTTTCTCATTATATATTTGTAGTTCTTTTTTTGACAATGTAGACGACAAATTGTCTGTTTTTCTGGGAAAGTTTTTACTAATCAGAACAAATGATCTGCGAAATCCATATCCTTCCAGTTTTCTAATCTCTACCCAGTCAATGCCAGTATTGCCTTTGCAACATTTGTTCATTACCCAATCAATGACCAGTCCAGAAACAAGGAAGATAGAATGCAGCCATGTTTTAACATGTCAACAACGCTGACTAATTACTCAAGTATCTCCAACAAATGTGTTTAGTATGTACAACGTTATGGTCCATGTATGCATCCTGTACTCACAAATCAAACCACGTGTGTGACTGACTGGCTGCTACAGGAAGGTTTGAATCATTCAGATGAAAAATCTATGTAACTGACAATTGGTGATGGTTGACTTGAACTCCCCTCCCCTGACCCTATAGTATAATATATAAACATACCATATGTCTGAAACCACATACATATGTGTTTGTGTAATTCAGAATAGGTATACAAACATGGGCGCATGCACACACATATACACACACACACAAGCTGCTAGTGTATCAATTTTTAAGAATATATGTATGCTTCATTACATCATCATTTACAAAACAAGTGCAAGCAAAATGTGAGTTTGATAGCTTATAAAGAAATAGCGTAAAATTGAAAGCATAGTCTGTCCCACATTTACTTAACACCTATAAAGTGATTTAGCATAATGAATAAAAACATTGTTGATTAAAATGTAGTATCTCAACTGTAACACAGAGCAGTGAAATTACAAATCAAGCTGAATAGACAGACTAGGAGGATCCTTCTGAAAATGTTAGTCTATAGTAAACTCAGTTGTGTGATGATCCAATATGTTGCACAGAGATACAAATTACACTATCAGTAAACTCAATATCAAGGTGTCTCGGGAAGTAAAGGCGGCCGGCGTAATGCTGACTACATCACACATCTTGTGGCGATTGGTCAATAAAAATATAGGTCTAGCCCTATATGCACTATACACCCAAAGGCGTGGAAAAAGGTCCCTTACTTACTTAAAATATCAACTCTATCAGTGTTTATGTGTACAGTCTGGCCACAGATCACTCAAGCCTGATTTGCACTGCACCAAACCTCTGTCAAGGATGCGTACACAGTTGAGGAAGTGGAAATGAAGTTTGTAGAATCGCAAGAGGATGGTTGATTGACAGAGACCACCTCAGCACAGCTGGACAGCTGGGACACAGTGATGTAATTTGTATGTAAGTTGCAGTGACCCGTTCACCTTCATGGTGGGTAACAAGAGTTGTGTTAGTGGGACTGCCCAGAGTGCAGTGATATAAAGTCTTCAGTCAGTTAATCAATAACCCACTGGCATAAATTAGCAGTCCTCCGTTAGTATGTCCACCAGTCGTGGCGGGTGAGCAGTAGCACTGGCAAAGCAAATCATGAAAGGACCTATGTACCTGAAAGCAGGAATTTGCACGGAGAGCAAGATGCTCTGTCATCTTAATATTCAGGGCCCCGGAAAAAGCCAGAGTGGGGCTTGGAAATAACAAAAAGTTGCATCCCACGGGGTGACGTCTTATATATTAACAATGTATGTATTAGTCCACGCCTGTGACAGGCGTTGCGAACGAGCTTTGTAATGCCGGGGTTAACGGGTTCTATCCCAGCTGTGGGCTCTGCATTGGTTTCGACAGAGGTATCCAGAAACCGGCTGTCCAGAACACAATGGCAAACTACTGGACATAAATTTGCCTAAAAAAACCACAACAGCAAAAAAATGCTGGGGTTGGTTCTGCAATGTCCAATGTGCAACTAACTTATGTATTCGGTAGGTAATTGTACCCAACCAGGACATCACACAAATGATAAACACCAGGTGACACAAAGTGCCACCATGCGGATGAGGATCACCTATGGAGAGGTCCCAGAAACCCCTTTCAATGGCTATGGCCACATTCATGGCACAGTTATATTCAGGGCCCCCAGCGAGATCCAGGGTGGGGCTTCAAATAACGAAAAATTGCGTCCCACATGGGGACATTTACTGTAAAATAGTCACGTGTATAAGGTAGTAGTAGTACATTTTACCCCACTAGGACATCACACAAGCGATAAACACCTGATGACACAAAGTGCCACTATGTGGAAGAGGATCACCTGTGGAAGAAATCCCGGAAACCGGGTTCAGCCATTAGACCATATTTATGGCTGGACTATATTGCGGCCCCTGACAAGAACCAGGGTGGGGCTTTGAAATAACAAAAAATTACATACCACAAGCGATGTATTAGGCCAGCTTACTAGGGAAAAGTATAAAAAAAAAAGTTTTACATATTGTAAATATTCATCAGACAATTAGGAAAAAATATATTTTTCAGACGCTTGTCAAATACAATGTGATGTAACTGTTCAGCTGATATATATATATATATAAACTTAATTCAAATTAGAAAATAGATACTCTTCAATAAATATTTAAATTATGAAAAGGAGTACAGACATTATTCCCCTTGATAAACATATTTTATTTACTGGACATATAAAATATTGGACATCTAAAATGACTACTGGGAATAAATAATTGTTGCATTATTTTTTTTCAAAACACTGCGTTGTCATCCACAAAGCATGAATACGCAGAATGTCCACATTATAGTTTATTGGGGAAATTGTACGCAAACGGCTATCTAGGAAATTTTTTTCTTCAAGCAGAAAGCTTATTAAAACGGTAGTGTCTGGTTTACTGAAGATGTAAGCAGGGGTAGGCAAAGTTGTTCTCTTCCTTACTGCTGAGAACAGTAATCTCATCTGATGGATGTGATTTATTTGAGTGGTTTTAGTGTCCTGAACAAATTGACAGTTGTTGAAATAATGTAAGTAAACAGAAATCCTGTCTGCACTGGATTGCATTTGATTTAGATGACTGAGAAAGAATGCAAGAAGTATAAATCGGATTGTAACTATTTTGCTGTGAGGAGCCTCCAGCAGTCTAGTTTGTTTGTCATTTAGTAATTTTTGTTTTGAACGGATATGTTTCTTTTTCCTGTTATTGACTGTTGTGTTAATTTTCTTCAAGATAATTCATTTTCACCCCAGGTTAATCTGTTTGTTGTGTATGTCAAGTTTCTATGTTTCCATTTCTTTAGCTGCACCAATTTTCCACAATAATGGTGCACCCAAGGACCAGACAGTGGTAGAAAATGTGGATGTGACCTTCAACTGTGATGCAAGATCAGCTTCTAATGAAGAACCTCCAAACTCTCCTGTTTGGTATATAAATGGTGTTAAAACTGGACAGCACACAGGTAAGTTACCATGAACATCGAGACATATTGTTGCAGACGCTAAATCATCTTTCCGAGTCAGTGGTGTTTTTTTAAAAGGATAATTAAGCAAGTCTACAAAGAGCTTGGTATGAGCTGCCTGTTATAGACTGGTTCATGAACGGCACAGGAAAAGTTTGGTTTGTTGGTGGTTGTTTCTGCAGAAAAATATAAAGTCGACCATGATGAACCCTGCTGAAGCAGCTTGGATTATAATTATGGTCTATGGTTTTATTTGTGCCAATTTCACTGACGTAAAGGCTTTTTTGTGCCAGTGGTTTTGGCCTAATGTCCCTATCGGAATGAGGTGTTGTCCTGTTTATGCCTGGGTACTTTCTGTTGCTCTTGAAAGGATCCAAAAGTAAAAACAACTTTAAAGTATTTTGAGGCGAAAAATAAAAATTAATACCCTGTACGTCTTTTTTCACATATCAGCACTAATTGTTTTCTTTCTGGGTCTTCATGTTATTTTAACTCACTGACTACCAAGCCTGTTAACCCAAGCACTTTCCCAGATACTATGTATTTTAGTGTGTGCTAAAAAGGCATAGCTTCACAACTATTTAACGTAAACTTTTAACATTTTGTATTTTTGCACACAATTGATACCCGAAGCTCACACATGAAACAGGCTGCATGAACAAATGTAACATAACACACCAACCTCCGACTGCCACGCCACTGCTATAAGCGAAAGACTCTTCCAGTTTCAATGTGGTTTGTTATGGTAGTTCATAAAAATAATCAAAGTCACATTCATCACACTGCTTAGAAATATCTTTCCTTAACGTTCTGGTTTAGAACAGTCAGGATAACATCCCATCGCACCAAAATGTTCCACTATGGTGGCTCTAACGATCAGCCCTTTATTAAATCTTCCGCCAAATGAGTCATTGACATAGGAGCTCACCACAAACAGAATTTTATTATAATTTTTTTCAATAGATAATATACTTTAAGCACTGCAGAGTGTTTCCCTTAAAGAAATAGAGTAAGGAATAGACTAACAGCTTCAAAAACATTTATCGCAAAAGTCACAATTTTAAAATGGTGGCAAGCGCCCAGAGTTATGATCGTAAATAGTGTGATCATGGTAGCCAGGTGTAAATATCGGCTGATCACATAACGTATGGTAGTCTGTGGGTTAAGGTTATTTCCTCAAATGCTCTTAACATTCTAACTGCAGAATTTTAGGTACTTAAAGAGCAGAAACCTTAGCTAAAGAATGGCTACCTTCTAAGATAAAAAGATTCTGTAAAATATGACAGAACTCGGTCAGCAATGAAACACTTACTGACACTTGATGATCATCCTCCTGTTCCATATCAGGACAATGACCTATTGCCCCTGTTGTGTACACATGGGCAGGCAGAATATACATTCAGATCCTTGCCTCATTTTGTTATGAACAAACATGAACAGAAAGCTAAAAATTGGGGTGACAGCAATCAAGCTGATGTCAAGGAGATTAAACACACAACATCACTGCAGCGTTGCTTCTCTTTTGTGAAGCTTGCTAACTATAGTTTGTGTTTAGTCAGTTCATCTCAACATAAAGCTATCTGCCAGTACGAAAAAAGCTCTCAAAAACGTATACTTGTTTATCTGATAAACTGGACTTCTTGTGCGCACATCACTAGAACAGAGGTGAGGAGGATGACCTGTCGGTGCTCCACAGAAAACCAAACCACTCAAATACAACACAGTGAAATCTAAGGACTATCCCTTCAAAAAACTGATGTATTAAATAAGGGAGGCAATAAACAACACTGCTTGCACACAAACAGCCATTATTTACTACATTGCGGTCTAGTGCTATTGCCATGAACATGCAGGTTTGGATTTTTTTTTTCATATGACTCAAAAAGTATTACCAACCTTACCAAGTATTCAGACCTGGGTCTCCTGCATGAGAACTCACATATGATTTGAGAGATCAGAAATCTTTCATATCCTCGCTGATAAATATTTTGACATTAAGTTGCAGCTGTTAAAAAATAAATTTAACAAATAGCACTTGTTGCTTTGTTTTATGCATGGCTAGATGTAGTTGACTTTGGTGGTACCGGCAGTTTCCTGATGTGGAAAAGAGCAAGAAACTTGAAGCATTTAAATTTGAAGCAGGGTTTTTTCTCTGGGTATTGTGGCTTTGGGCTTTATCGAGCCACATAACAGTGGGTACTAAACAGTTTCCAACATTTCTGGGAAAAAATGGTCATAAGGATGAGAACTAGCCAGGCTACCCTGTATGCTGGTGACCCAGAATGTATGAGGCCTAACACTTCGCCCTAAGGGCTTCAAATGCCATGCACCTACCTTTACATTTTGAACATTTTATATGACTTTTATCAGGTATATGTTGTCATTAGGGCTATGACTCTAATTATCATCCATCTGTTTAACCTAGTTTCTTTTTTTATCGGTCTATTTGTGGGTTGTCTTTATTATTGTCCTAAATTTATGTATGTCCAAAAGGCCTTTGCCTGATTATCCTAATTGAAGTAGTCTGATTGGGTGTGGGAACTTTTATTTGTTTCACACATTAATTTGAAATGAATGTCAGGCTTTGTAAGTGAACTTGTCGGGCAAATTATGTTGTATTTTGTTGTTGTATCTGCCTTTCATAATGTTTACTCCTCCTTATGCATTTAAAACAACTTTTCCCTAGAAATGTTGAGTTCTATATCTGTTTGAATGTCATGATCTGCTACTGTTGGTGTCTCATTGCTGCACCAGTGGGACAAGGAAAATAATTCTTTTCTCTGGTCAGGGAAACTGTATTTGTCTAACCATCTTCATATTCTACAACAGAGCAGATGTCCCTAGCATAATGCTTTTTCCAGTGTTGTTGTTGTCTGATGATCATGTGCCAGCAGGACTCAGATAACTGTGAATGTCTTATAGCTACATAAATGTTTTGAGTGTTCAATATGATACTTTTTCTGCAGGGCTTTGACAGCTATGTAAAGCGTCCTTTTTTTTGTTTTGTTTTTGAAAATGCAGATCCCACGAAGTTTCAGTTGTCCAATGGAAACAAAACACTTACAGTCATGAAAGTCAAGAAAGCAACTGATATTCTGTGTGTACAATGTGAGGTCACAAACCATGTGGACACCACCTGGGCCGACTCCTGTCTCACTGTGATTCGTAAGTGATTATCTATCTAACCCCACACACAAATGCCCAGACATGAAGACCCACAGAAACTTACATACACAGACATGCACACACAGGAACATGCACACACCAGACATGAAGACCCACAGAAACTTGCATACATAGACATGCACACACAGGAACATGCAGACACACATAAACTTGCAGACCCAGGAACTTGCAGACACAACAAACACAGGAAATTCAGACATAGGAGCATGCAGAAACACAGAAACATGTACACACAGGAACATGCACACACATGAACATGCAGACACAGTAACATGTGGACATACTGGTCCTTGCTTTGCTCACACACAGGAACATGCAGACACATGAACATGCACAAACACACAAGAACATGCACACACAGGAACATGCAGACACACATAAACTTGCAGACACATAAAAATGCAGACACAGGAACTTGAAGACACAACAGACACAGGAAATGCAGACACACAGAAACATGCAGACACACAGAAACGTGCACACACAAGGAATATGCAGACACAACAGACACAGTAGACATGCAGCAAACTGCAGACCTTGCTTGCACACACACAAAAAATACTCAGTAACATGCAGACATACGCACACACAGGAACATGCACACACAGGAACTTGAACACAGATATGCACACACACAGAAACATGAAGATGCAGACATGCAGATACACAGGAACTTTCCCACACACAGGAACATACACACACAGGAACATGCACACACACACACACACACACAGAAACTTGCACACACAGATATGCAGACACAGGAACATACAGACACAGTCATGCAGACACATGAACATGCACACACAGGAACATGCACACACAGACATGCAGACACAGGAACATGCACACACAGACATACTGACACACAGCAGCACACACACAGGAACTTGTGCACACAGACATGCACACACAGAAACATGCACATGCAGACACATGAACATGCACACACACACTAACATGCCCATGCAGAAGCAGGAACACATACACACACAAGAACATGCAGACACAGTCATGCACACACATGAACATGCACACACAGACATGCTGACACACAGCAGCATACACACACAGGAACTTGTGTACACAGACATACACACACAGAAACACACAGAAACATGCACATGCAGACACAGGAACATGCACACTCACACAATAACATGCACATGCAGAAACAAGAACACACACACACATGCACACACAGATACTTGTATACACAGACATGATACACAAGAACTTGCGCGCAAGCGTACACATACACGCACGAGAGAGAGAGAGAGAGAGAGAGAGAGAGAGAGAGAGAGAGAGAGAGAGAGAGAGAGAGAGAGATTTAAGCAAACACATGTGCATGCTCTGTCCCACTCAGTCACTCACAGTTAGATCATAGAGTTTATCAGAATTCATATTGCGTATGTTTTCCTGAGATTAAATTTTGATAGCTTTTTTTTTGCACCTAAAGTTACATGGAATACATAAAATGAATTTTATTCAAAGTTTGAATTGTCTTTCATTCACACATGTAAATATTGTTCTCCACTGACAGTGAGGTAAATGTATTACATAATGTTTGTCTTGGTCTCATCCTCAGTTACTAGAACAATATTACAGATGATATTTACATTTTTGTCTTGTTTCCTAGTGCCAATCAGAATTGAAAAAAGACCACCAGAAGAACAGGAAATTGATCATGGTGACACACTTGACTTCACCATCGTAGCCACCACCGATCCTGCCATGAGTCTCAACTACAGGTATTGTTGACCTGTGACCTTGTAGCATTTCTGTAGCCACTAGATGGACATAAGCGACTACAGCCTAATTATAAATAAAACAACACTACTTTTTTTTTGGTCAGTTTGTAATGTTTAACAAGGTCTGAAACAAGTAAATAATTGACCAGAAGCAATTTCCAAAAGCTGTATTTGTTTCAGCTACAGTGTCTGATACCAAGTAAACAAGATCAAATTTCATTGCACTCATATATGCTACATCTCACTCATCATGTCAATTGCATCTGAAAGCCTAGTAAATGATGTGCAGTTCACTGCATAAAGAGTTATAAGGTTCTTTTTTTTTTTTTTTCATCCTTCTATGCTGGGGCTGTAGCCAGTGTCAGTCCCCCAATTTTGGTCCCTGAGTAAATTAAGTTAAATAGCTCTGTTATAGAGTATACTGTACAGAGAAACTAAATGTGTATGTAATGGGAACTGTTTCTACATCTTGAAACTTATTAGATGTATAATGATTCTGACAGTCGTTACTGTTGTCCCTTTCTTTGATCACTGCTGCTGCCAAAAGTGGTGGCAGATGAATAAAAGCCTTTGTTGGGCAGATTCATAGACTTGTATGCTATGCTCTATATCTGTGTGCCTGAGATAGCACCTAATAAATGTCCCATGTCTATGTCCTGTTTATTCCACAGATTTTGCCCATAAAAGTATCTTATAACCTCTGACCTGTGCATGAACAAATAGTATACCTACTTGACTGGTTTTAACAGAGCCATCTAACATTACATTTTGAATAAGTTATTCAGCTAGTGCTCCCCATAGATTAAACTTTGCAGGTCAGTCATAACTGGGCCAACAGTGTGGTTTTAAATCCCCTTGTCTGAAACAATGTATGGTAAATATCAATACTTGTACATTCAGGTCATTGACCTTGCTCTATCTGTAGCTGTGTCACACTAAACACTGACAGAATGAGGGATGGTCTCAGTGATGTACTGAATACCTGCAGCTCTCAGTAACATGGTCTCACTGATGTACCGAATACCTGCAGCTCTCAGTAACATGGTATCACTGATGTACTGAATACCTGCAGCTCTCAGTAACATGGTCTCACTGATGTACTGAATACCTGCAGCTCTCAGTAACATGGTCTCACTGATGTACTGAATACCTGCAGCTCTCAGTAACATGGTCTCACTGATGTACTGAATACCTGCAGCTCTCTGTAACATGGTCTCAGTGATGTACTGAATACCTGCAGCTTTAAGTAACATGGTCTCATTGATGTACTGAATACCTGCAGCTCTCAGCAACACGGTCTCAGTGATGTACTAAATACCTGCAGCTCTCAGTATTATGGTCTCAGTGATGTACTGAATACCTGCAGCTCTCAGTAACATGGTCTCAGTGATGCACTGAATACCAGCAGCTCTCAGTATTATGGTCTCAGTGATGCACTAAATACCTGCAGCTCTCAGTATTATGGTCTCAGTGATGTACTATTCAGTACATCAGTGTGACCATGTTACTGAGAGTTGCAGGTATTCAGTGCATCACTCAGTAACATGATCTTAGTGATGTACTGAATACCTGCAGCTCTCAGTAACATGGTCTCACTGATGTACTGAGTACCTGCAGCTCTCAGTAACATGGTCTCAGTGATGTACTGAATACCTGCAGCTCTCATTAACAGTCTCAGTGATGTACTGAATACCTGCAGCTCTCAGTAACACGGTCTCAGTGATGTACTGAATACCTGCAGCTCTCACTAACACCGTCTCAGTGATGTACTGAATACCTGCAGCTTTCAGTAACATGGTCTCAGTTGAATACCTGCAGCTCTCAGTAACATGGTCTCAGTGATGTACTGAATACCTGCAGCTCTCAGTAACATGGTCTCAGTGATGTACTGAATACCTGCAGCTCTCAGTAACATGGTCTCAGTGATGTACTGAATACCTGCAGCTCTCAGTAACACGGTCTCGGTTATGTACTGAATACCTGCAGCTCTCAGTAACATGTATTTTTACCATTCTTACTTTAAACTGGGCATTTTCGAAACCAAAGTGTGCAGTTTTCAAACTACTCAACTTAGTTTTCAAATCAAAGTTGCAATTTAAAACCACACAGGACATTTTTTGAACCAAAGTAGATGATTTTCAAATCAAATAGGACAACTTTTCAAGCAAACAAGACATAGTTGGTGTTTCAACAATTATTACTTATTACCCAATAAATTAGAGCATTTTGGCGAAGAACATAAGAAATTTGAAGAAAAACAAGTTACATCATTAAAATCAATTTATGAAAGACTTTCTCTGCTGCCATTAAACCCATCATCATATGAGGATGTAATTCCTTTATTACCTGTTCAGTGCTCTTTCCAGTCACTGTGCTTAATGTCTTGTCGAGTGTCCAATTACTCAGCACGGAAGACTTCACGTTAAGTATGTAGGTGTAAGTTGACAGAAACTTTAGATCTTAGGGTGAGGAGTCCCCGTTAGATCAACTAGCATTGTCCATTATCAGCCACGCACTGTAAAGGTCCTGCCTGATACCCATACTCTTCACATGATGTTTGAGAAACTTTTCACCCTTGCAGGTGTTATCATTGATGATCTTAGATGGAACTATGTCCTAATTTTTGATAACCACAATTAACCTCACCAATTAGCCTCACATTGTTGGCAGGATTATGTTTGAGTGTCTTTGCCTTCTTGAGAGAGCCTTAGGCTATCACAGATGGTGGTTGAATCAGCTCTCCTCCACTAAGATGCCCCTTTCCTTGTGTTTTGGTGCATATGCTGAGAAGTCGAGAGCATAGGTTTACCTGCTTTATGATCATCATGGTAATGTTGATGTGGTTAAGCTTGCATTGGTACTCCTTGACTGGGATCTTTCTTAGGGCATTGAAGAACATTGATACATCCCATTCTTCTTCAGCCGCTACTGCATCTGCACTTAGGTATTCTTCAGAGGTCGTTCACCAGTGTCTTTGATGCACTGCAGGACATTGAAAGTTTTCTTTGTTTTTCTCCTGTGTCTTGTACTGGTGCCATTATTACCAGTGACTTGAGCCCAGCTGGATGGCTTCCTATCAGTAAACACAAGTTAAATTAGGATCTTTTCCTCAGAAAAATAATGAGCAAAATAAGTATTATGTATTATGCATACTGTTGAAAAGATTTAACCAAAGAATAATTGTTTAAATTGATGGCATCAGCATGTTAGATATGAAAATGGATGCTGTATAATTTGTAAGGGAAACTTAGAACTTTAATTAGCAGCAGTAATGATTAGAATCAGTGACATAGCATTTGTTCTCATTTCATTTTTTGATGCCTCATTAAGCAAACAGAATGACCTCATTTATTCCAACAGCTTCCCTTGACAAAGAATATTTGTTATTTCACCATCTCTCTTTTTGATGTATGACTTCTTTATGAAAAAGTCTGACAGTAAACACTGACAGTAACTTTTAATTGAAAAATAATTACAAACATGATAATGTAATGTTTTGATGTCAGTGTAATATGTTCATGCCTTTGTAGTGTTTTCATGCCAGCCTTATGTTTTCATGCCTTTGTAATGTTTTCATGCCAGCCTTATGTTTTCATGCCAGCATTATGTTTCAAGCCAGCCTTATGTTTTCATGTTAGCCTTATGTTTTCATGTTAGCCTTATGTTTTCATGTTAGCCTTATGTTTTCATGTTAGCCTTATGTTTTCATGTTAGCCTTATGTTTTCATGTTAGCCTTATGTTTTCATTATGTTTTCATGTTAGCCTTATGTTTTCATGTTAGCCTTATGTTTTCATGCCAGCCTTATGTTTTCATGTTAGCCTTATGTTTTCATGTTAGCCTTACGTTTTTATGCCAGCTTTATGTTTTCATGTCAGCCTTACGTTTTCATGCCAGCCTTACGTTTTCATGCCAGCCTTATGTTTTCATGCCAGCCTTATGTTTTCATGCCAGCCTTATGTTTTTATGCCAGCCTTATGTTTTCATGCCAGCCTTATGTTTATATGTCAGTGTGTTCAGTCCAGTGCAATGTGTATATCACTTTGTTTTCCTGTCACTGTAATGTTTGTCTTTTCATTGTAATGCTGGCATGTCACTGTCATGTTTCATGGCAGTGTAATGTTTTCATGGCAGTGTAGTTGTATTTTTATGTTACTGTAATGTTGGCATATAACTGCAATGAGTTTTATGTCATTTAAGTGTTTTCATATCAGTGTAATGTATTTATATCCATACAGTGTTTTCATTTGTAAAATAACATTGTTTGCATTCTGTGCCCCAGGTGGGAGTTCAAAAATGTGACCTACTCTGGCAGTGAATCTCCACCGTTTATGGTGTATGATCCCACCACCTTGTTGGCCTACATCAACACTAGCCTGCTGACTGAAGAACAATATGAGACTCTTGAAGGCACATACAGGAGAACCATTTATCATTCGTTTGAGACAGTATATGTGGACACAGTTGTCACACTCAAACATAAACCAGGTATGGCATTTTGCAGAACAGAGCCCAGCCTTTACTCAGCTGGCAACATTGCATACACTTGTCACTATTTTTTTGAAATATAAACATACATTAAATTGGATACAACTGACTTAATGAAATGCAACACAGCCTGATACATATCCCTCTTTCCATTTAGCAGCCTTATTACTTATAGAAATTTGAAATAGTCATAACCCAGTTCAGTTTTAGCTCTCTGAAACAGTTATTTGATTGAGACCATGTTGATTATTGCTGACAATGATTTTTGTGTGTAGAAAATACATGAACAATACTTGTATGATAAACAAACATACAGCGGTTTATTCATTGTGATAGGGGCTTCCATTGTGAACTGGACCAAGCTTGACTAGAGGCTTCCTGAAATTATGCATCCTTGGCATCTCACTGACCACAAATAAAATTATTATTTTTACTGATCTTATTGCATTAGTGAAAACATGTACCTTTGTGTGTTCCTTTTTGGACATTTATTTCTTGTTGCTCTACAGAAAGAATTGATATTCCAGATGTATCCAGTTGTGAACATCCTTTCTGTTCTGTATTTGTTTTTTTTTGCCTTGCTTTAAATGAATTTGGCTTTTTGTTTACCATAATCACAAAGACCTATGGCCACCTCTGAAGTGATAATTGTGAAGACACTTCAAAATCTGAAGAAAACTTCTCATCCCAAAATAGCAACTTTAAAAGACTTTGTTATGTTCTGTTGGCAGGCCTTATGTTCTCATGTGTCACACATACAGGAACTGATTTCAGTATGGATAGAAACCCCTCAGTAGGAAAGTACAGTGAATAAACATAAAAAAAAAAAAAATTAAGCCTGTATGTAATATGATAGTCCAGTATATTTGCTGTCTGATCTGAGCTCTGAACAGTGATAACCACTGACAGGTGAAGCTAATCATTGTGTCTCCACAATAGTGAATTGCAACATGGACTATTCATTGTTAAATTTTCAAGTTTCAAATTTTAAGAACATACATTGATAATCTACAATTAAAAATCAATGGTCTAGTATTTTGGTTCAGTCAAAAAAACAGGTTATGTTCAGATAAGAAAAAAAAAAGGGGGGGGGGGGGAAATGCGGGAGATAAAATTCAGACTAATGAAAGAAAGAAAAGTAGAATTGGGGCCTCATCACATGACACTCTCATTGAAGCACGTTTACATTAGCCAATCTTTGAGGTGGAAGTGGCACTAATGAAAATACCTATAGAAATATTTTTTATTGTATTTTACCAAACAACTGGCATACAGTCAATGCTTTTAACCTGAGTCAGTGTTTTTGATATAGTTTCATTATCTGACTTCAACAATCTGTCTTGTATTCACAGGTTTGCAGGTGACTGTGCAAGGAGCACTACCATGTTGTTTCCATTATGTGAATGTCAGTTATGTGAAACTGTCCTCATCATGTACACATATTCCACTCATGTACACATCACTCACTCATGTACACATGTCCCACTCATGTACACATGTCCCACTCATGTACACATGCCCCACTCATGTACACCTGTCCAGACTGTCTGACAGCTGTACCAGGAACAGTTAAAAAAAAAAATACCCAGCATTATTCATTAATAGTCAGAAACCAGCATTGCCATTATTCATTAAAAACCAATAGGCAGTATTGTTGCGCAGCTGTGGCCATTTTTTCTTTTTTTCACATCTTGTCTGGCTTTGGTTTCTTGTTTGTTTCCCTGTAAAAACTGTTACTGATAATACATTAAAGATATATTAATAGCATTGTGAATGAGAGAAAGCCACCTAACATAACTAAAATACTAAACAAACATTTAAAGGGGCAATCCTAAAGCAGGTTGATAAGTTTTAAGAACTCGAACAAATATTAATGGATACCCTGATAACAGCAGATGTAAGATGTATTAAAGAAGTGAAATATAGAAGCTTAATAAACAAAAGCTGCATTTTTACAAAAGATTATTTTTTGCAGTTTTTCATTGTCAGTTGAGAATTCTCAAGGGCTATATAAACCCTATCCTGATATAAGGAAATGAATCATGGATAGTCGGACAATTAGCGAACAATTATTTTGCAAAGATGGGGTTTTATAGACAATTGATGAGAATGCCATGGCAGATAAAAAGAGTAATGAAGACATCTTGAAAGAAACTACTTCATGAAGAGAACTGATTGCCCTGATCGGGTGAAGTCTGCATTCTTTGGTCATGTCATGAGAAGGAGAAAAACTGTACATTTTAATGGTGGGACAGTTTTTAGGGGAAAAGAGGCAGAGGAAGACCAAGAGAGATAAAATGCTGGAAAGTGTGACATGATGGCATGGGAATCATCCTTGTCAGAAGTAATAAAAAGTACACAGGACAGAAGGCTGTGTATGAGACATGACTATCGACACCAAACAGCATGGACTATAAGAACAAGAATTAAACATATGATTTACTATTTGTTATGTATGCAATGTACATTTCCTGTGTGATTGTAGAGATATTTTGTGCATTATTTCCCCCATTTTTTTTTTCCTCGTGGATATCACAGTTGTGTACATTCCTGGTTCTGTGAATAATGTTTGCTGTATATTTCTAGTGATAGCTCCAGTGGCAGCAGCAGCTGTGGACATGTGGATCATTGGCCTCATCATCGGCATCATCTTCTTGCTCATAGTCATCATCATCATCATTTTTGTTGTCTGCCGCAAGCAACAAGAAGGAGACTATAATGGTAAGTTGATCAAAGCTCATGAGTGTTTGAAAATATTCTTCTTCTGCTGCCTTCTTTTTTCCTATTAGAGAATATGCTTTCAACGAGTTCATGCTGAGTCATCCTTTTCTTTGCTATCGTGTTTAGCTCAATCTCTCACCAGCCTACTTACCTTGTTGCCTCAGGGATGTCAACACATAGCATAATCTCAACATTTTGCCTCGTTTTTTTGCTTGTGCTTAACCCTAGACTGTAGTGCTGTTTAGTCTTTGCATTGCTATGGTGTCCTCCTCCTCCTTCTGATGAACAGCCTCGATTGCTGTATGAAGCCTAGATATTCAGTTTAATCATTGTTTTTTCATCATTGTCTTCTTGTGTCCTGCAGACAAGCATGGGTGGTCATGTTTTGCCACCTCACATGATCATCAGGTTGGTGACCTTGTCTTCTCCACTTCATATAACCAGACCATCCAGGTGTTTGCCTGTCCCTTGCTCTTTTCCCATCAGTCTTGCCAGTTGTAACTTCCTTGTTTTTTCTTCTTTCTTTTCATGATATTCTTTGATTCATGCATATATTGAATTTTTTTTCAATCCATTTGTGTTTTCTAGCTGAAATCTTTCTTATTGTAAAAATAGTTTTTTTTTTTTCTCAGAGACTTCTGTTCTCACTATCATCTGCATGTTTATGTCAAAGTTTGGACCGAAAATAGACAAAGACAATTGGCTTATTTAGAAAGAAATGATTACACATGTTCTGTTAGAATCTTACCACCATGTAAAGATCATTGTGATGTTTGGCAGCCACATTTGTTCCTTTCTTTCACAGTGGATAAAAAAGAAGTTGGAGCAGGGTTAAATCCTCAGAAGGAATTAAAGGACAAAGGTTTCAATGACTATTCCCGACCGTAAGTCAATGTTTGTTTATTTCATGTCTGATGTTACATTTGCTTTGAGTGTAATTTTATTTATATTTAGTGTGATGCAGATTTCTGGAGACTTTTCATGCACATTTCTTTAGTCATTTGCGAATTAGGTAAACTTTTTTTTTAAAGACTTCAATTCAGTACATTATTAAATTTTTTAAATTTGCTGATGTAGACAACTTATTTCAGGCGAACGAAAGAAGAAGAAGAAAATGCCAACAAAAGAAAAAGAAGAGCCTCGAACTAATGTTATTTGTAGTTTCAGGCTTCACACAAAATGTACACAAATAGTCCGATATTAAATTAGGCATACAGTTGATGTTTTCAATACAGAACTGATGTAAAAATAAAAAAATAAAAAAATGTGTAAATTACTAATGAATTAAGCTCACTGCCTTGATTGGAAGACAGTTAAATGGAAATAGGCTTAAATATAACATGAGATAGCTAGTTATTACAGATGACTGACGTTTAACCCCACCAGGACCGCATAAGTAAAAAAAGTAAAGTAAAGATCCCTTTTCACGCCTTTCGGCGCATCGGGCATATGGGCAGAGCGTCCTAATAACAGACCACAGCATTCAGTGCTACTACTTTCAGATACAGCCCATCCTGGTACCCATTTTAGGCTGCGACCTGCGACGTCCTAGAAAAAAATCCACGCAGCCTGCAGTGGGTTTCGATCGCGGTAATCGGACTTGCAGTTATACGGACGCCGCTGCCTAGCGATAAACACTCAGTGCTACTATTCAGATAAGAATCACCTGGGCGCAAGTCCTAGAAACAATTGCCCAATCAGCAGTTATATTCAGGGTCCCTGACGACAGCTTTTTTAACATAAAAAAAAAGTTTGCATTGGAATGTGGAGTTATGTTACAAATGTCTGTGGTTGTTGTCTGGTGTATTACATGAGAGCAATGGGTAATGATCTCTGATTTGTTATCTTTCAGAGACTTTGAAGACTACGATGGCTACATGGACAAAAAACCTCGAGGAGATCTGGAGTATGATGATGTTCCCATTGGAGGCGACGATGAAAGTTTAGGAGAGTATGGTGATGAGGATGACACACACTTCAATGAAGATGGATCATTCATTGGAATTTACCAGAAGAAACAGCAGCCTTCGTCCAAGGGGCATGAGTCAACAATATAGGGGAGATATTTATCAGAAATTAGAAGTGAAACCCACAGATGCACACATCAAGTGAGAACATACCATTCCAAATTTTATTGACAGTGATGGAGTACAGTTAGGACAAACTTGTGACTGATGGAAGATCATAATGAGTTATGTAGTACAGAGATCTTAGGCACATGAATATTTGAGTTGTGAACAGTGTCTTGTTCGAACCTTTTGTTGAAAATCTCTCACAAGAGCAAACTGCAGAAATGAAGCTCACATTGCGCCTGCCACCTCTGTCAGAGCCTGATACATTTTAAACATTTGCATCACATTTG